TACGACCCGCGGACTAACAAGCCCGGCAGCCCCGGCGCCGCCGGCAGCCCCCCCGCCCCCGCCGGCGCCGAGCCGCGGCCCGCCGACCCCCCCGCCAAGCCCAAGCCCAAGGAGCCGCTGTTCGTCAGGAAGTCTGCGCTGGAGCAGCCGGAGCCGGAGAAGCAGGAGCAGGGCACCGACCGCTACAACAGCTACAACCGCCCGCGGCCCAAGCCCGCCCCCTCACCCGGAGCCCCGCCCCCGGGGGGGCCCGCCGCCGCCGGGGGGGCAGGAGCCCCGGGGGCCGGCGCCGAGCAGGGCCCCGCCGGCGTCCACAACCTGCCCGTGTCCGCGCTGTTCGGCCGGCAGCCCACCAAGGCCGGCGGCACCGGCAGCCCGTTCGGGGGCAGCAGCCCGGCGCAGCCCGACCCGGCCGCCGCCGCCGCCGCCGCCGAGCAGGACAACGCCTCCCTGAAGGACGTTTTCAAAGGGTTCGACCCCACCGCCTCCCCCTTCTGCCAGTGAGCCGCCGCGGTTTTAAGAGAGGCAACGGCGGCCTGATGGTGGCCCAACGGTGGCTAAATGCCGGCAAAACGGCGGCAAAATGGCGGCTAAACAGCGGCCTGTTGGTGACCTGACGGCGGCTAAATGGCGGCTAAATGGAAGCCCAACGGCGGCTAAATGGCGGCCAAATGGCGGCCAGGCAGACTTTACTTCCCCCCCCCTCAGGCACAGACTCTCCCAGCGTGCGGCGGGACGGGCTCAAAGTCAGATCTCTATTTTAAAGCAGACGTATTGATGTACAAAGAGACGTTTCCTCTGCTTCCAGACTCGTTTCTACAGAGTGAAATTTTAGCTTCTCGTCCTGTTTTTCTCCCCTTTCTGTAAATCTTCTTTATACTGTTGCACTCTTGTACAGAACGAGGGGTCTGAGACTGGCAGGAAGTGATGAAATCCATGTCTTTTTCTCCACCTCGGACGGAATATTGCTTATTTATGTTGTTTCTGTGATTGAAGGATCAGCACTGAGGCGTCCTGTCGGCCCCCCCCCCCACCGCCATGTTTTCTCTAATAAAAAGCCTTCGTTTAGCTTCCCCACCTGTTTTCTGGAGGAACGTCTCTGCTCACGTCCTGATTTTATTTTTTTAGTATTTATTTTTCTACTTCTTTGCACTGCTGATTGTTTCCTTTGAGGCAGGTGTTGTTCTAGTGCCCCCCCCCCCTCCAGCCCCCCACACAGACAGGTTTCATTTCAGGTGTTTACAGAGAGACGGC